GGGTTTATCTGAATTTCTGTTGCTATTTTCTTACAGTTCCTATACCTTCAGTATTTCCCCCATCCCCATTATTGTATGTGCCGCATGAAGATCATTTGCGGTCAACTATGAAAAGCTCGGAGCCTAAATTGCCGATCATAGCATGCATGATACAGTATAAGGTTGTTAAACAAGTATTAATTCCGGTGAATACTTTAACATGTTAACTGTTGAATTATCTTATGGACATGGCGTTATCTAAAAAGTAAACAATTACGCAATTTTTTTTATCGGAAGTTAACACATTTTTCATGAATATCAGTTGCATGTATATTTTTTTATAGAAATTAAATACTTTTGCTTCCCTTCCAAACAATACTTCACACGAAGTGTCGAAAAGGCAGTGCAAGAAAAGCAAGCTTGCGCTACACTATTACATCGTTTACATCTGAAAATACAATATTTTTTAAATGCTAGGTCCAGCCGTTTGTTCCATACATTAACGTAAGACCCTCCGACCTCTTGTAGAGTCGGTGGTCTGTCGCCAATTTTATAAGCGTGCGTTCGAGAAAAAAATGCAGATGGTTTTTCAATACAAAAATATACTGCTTAATAATAATAATAATAATAATAATAATAATATTATTATTATTAAAAAGAAGGCAATAGTTAAAAATTTTATCTTTTGCGTTAAAGCAACACTTGCTGTTAATGCTATTAAAAATGTTCGACATAAATCTGATTTATTTACGTACCTTCCACCCTCGATGGACGCTTCTTACAAACTGCCTTAAACTTATTCGAGCCGAGGAACCTCAGAGAACACTAGTTGAAAATATTGATTATTAAGATTCAGTTTTAAATTGGTTGCTTAACCACAATTAAATGACAAATACTGATCGATCACCCCGGAGAACTGTTCAATTCCCATGCTTCCTTCGGCAAAAATTCGTCATATCCTCACAATCCGGCAACTGTAATTTATTCTGGGCACTGATCTTGAGAGTCGGATGCGGAGGACAGAGCAGCGACGAACAATCATTTCTGTTCTGATGCGTGCTTTAGTTTCTGTGATCCTATCACACTTGCTGTTCAGATATTGTTTGACGAATTGCAAGTATTTTGTTGATAATGAATTGTTAATTGATGCCAAGCGAAAACAACCAGTATTCGTGAAAGAGGAATTTTGAAATATTACGAGAATATTCATTGCATATTTTTGTACTTAAACTTACTATAGAGAAGAAAAAAATCCCTTCTTTCCCATAATTCCATCATTTTTAATTGTCTAAAGAATGCCCTAGTACAGTGTTGATCAAACTGAGGCGCGTGTCCCTAGGGAGGCGCGAGAACGTAATAATTTAATTAAATAATATTCTAATGCTTAATACTGCTCTAATTATTTCTACATGAAAAATTATTATCGGACTCTGTATCTGAATATTCATTTCATAAAAGGCATGGACAAACATGTTATAACGACATTCTGAAAAGAAATTTGAAACTAAGTGGTGTGAAATTGGGTATGCTACTGATTTACATGTTCCAATACAAGCATACTGAATATAACAAACACACTGCAGGAATTAATAAGCAATGATTAATATGGAATGCCTCAAAACAATTCAAAACACCAGCACAATCTCTAGACTTGACCCCCCCCCCCCGAACATCTATGTTGTAATGCAACTTGGGAGTTACACAATCATAAGGGGGTAATTGCCGTCACACTTGAGATGCGACGGTCACTTTCAGGCAGCATTTCTTTCAAGGGCGCCAAGCGCATGTTTCACCTGCTATCCGGTCACCGGCGTTGAGCATCTCAGGGGTGAGCGCCCTGGGTCGAAGGAATGCATTTGGCTGACTGGCTACAAGTAATACACAGGCTATATTTCTGCGTTACTACCCGACAAGATGGTGGGGACACGTCTATTATCGTGGTAAACTGTCTCTCAAGAACAATTATCTATTGAGCTTTCTTCTGGCTGATAAGTATGAATAGGTGTGCATTCACTTACAGGATGGTGATGATTGTGATGTCTCTACTTCACCCCTCTTGATGTCGTTACGTCAAGAACTGTGGTATCTCTAAGGGCCGACCGATCGCTGTCGCGATTCTTTCTCCAAAAATTATGTGATGTTTTAGCGCCCTCGGCTCACCCGATTCCCGTCCCCGTCCCTTCCGCAAGATGCGTGAGCTCTGCCACGTGCGTAGCGCGAAGCTTTTCATTGGCTAGTTCAAAAGTTTCCAGAACATTCTATCACTCGAGCTCTGTGATTGGGTCTAAGGGGACCGCACATCTTTGCGACCTTCACATCTTAACATGTAATTGATGGTTTATTGTTCTCCATCAAGTGCCTACGTGACTCGACATACATCTGCGACTCTTCTACGAAACTTCTTGGTTTATTGCCCCTTAGAGATTAGCTAGCGAGCTGCCCCCGAGTCTCGTAATACGACCGTTCCGGGAGTCAATTTCCTATTGCCATACAAAAGATTGTAGGGGGTGTTTTTCGGAGGCGGGCGAATGCTGGGGAATCCTTGGGTGGCGGCGCGCGCAGCTGCCTATTGCGACTCATTGCAATGGGCAATTTCGAAAAGGAAAATTCGTAAAGCGATTGTATTCCACGAAAATGATCTGGACAAGACAGTAACAGAAGAATGAATGACCATCACCCCTCAGACAAGCAGTCACCTCGTTAGATTTATGCAACGAAGATGTGTTGCTATAAAATCGAGAGAATACCCCACGAACTATTAGAGAAAATGAATTTTTAACGCCTACAGAAAGAGAGAGAGAGAGCGAGAGAGAGAGAGAGCGAGAGAGAGAGAGAGCGAGAGCGAGAGAGAGCGAGCGAGAGAGAGAGAGCGAGAGAGAGAGCGAGAGAGAGAGCGAGA